GCTCAACCAGTGAGCGGACTGGTCTCTATATGGGATCCGAACCCTCGGCGGGAGCGCCGCCACACTCCCAAGAACCGCACTCTACGGAGTGTGCCACCGGGCCGGCCCATAGTTTAGGATATTAACAAAATAAATAATACCCACCATTACTGCCAAAATCTAAAGATATGATTGTGTCTCCGGCAGCTGGGGCCAGCAAAGTTAAAGCATCAGGTTCCTTCTTAAGTTTATCAAAGAGGCTACTGGTATCTTCTGATTCAACTTTGGTGAATAGCTGAGTCATTTTCATATCTGAGGATTCAACTGGTTTGAGGACACATTCTGTTTGTTGAAGGGAGAAAATCAAGTCGTGCTGAATAATACCACTGTCAAAAAAAGAAATCAGTGATTCTTAAATGAGCACTTGACACAGTGAGGGGAAGGAGAATTGTGAAATGACCTTGTCTCTTCAAAAAATTCTGCTTTATGAAAAGGAACATTTTAAGATTTCTTGAGATGGGGCCGAGCCCGTGGCGCACTCGGGAGAGTGCAGCGCTGGGAGCGCAGCAGCGCTCCCGCTGCGGGTTCGGATCCTATATAGGGATGACCGGTGCACTCACAGCGCTCACGGGCTGAGCACGGTGTGGCCGGTCTCAAAAAGGAAAAAAAAAAAAAAGATTTCTTGAGATGTATAATCTTTCATTCATACTTTCTCACATTTTAGGGTTTTAAAATGCCAACATGAAACAGACCTAATAAAATTTATAGTAAAAAATAATTCAAATAGTTGATTAATGTCAGTTAAAAACTTCAGATACCTTTTGGGAAGAGTAATGGTGACAAGGAAATTTACAGTCAAGTATAGGAAGGACACAAACAGATCACAGTTTTTGTGTATATTATATAATAATATAGGTACAAAAGAGCTCTTTAGCACTAATATATGAGGCATGATCTAAGGATGGTCCTAGAATATAAAGATATATGTAGATAAATAATCAAGGTTTTTCTAAGAGAAGTGCCATATTTTCTTTGGTGGTAGGAAAATGATATGGTCAAACCACCTACAGGATAGGGTTGAAGTGGGATGATGAACAACAGCTCCAGCTTTATGTTTGGCTTAAATGTAAATTTTATTACTCCTTTATTAACATTATTAAGTGTTCACTACATGAAATGAACTGAGGATACAGAGATTAAAATACCTAACCCTTGCCTTCAAGAAGTTTATGACCCATTGTGAAAGTAGATATGTAAACAATTAAAATATACTGTGATAATTGCTAAAATGGAGAAGACTCGCTTCACAGAGAGGCTAACAAGCTATAACTTGGGCTCAAGTAGCATTTGTTAGGCAGACTGTGGTGAGGGGAAGAAAAGGACATTCCTTCTCTCAAGTGGGGGGTTCTTTTTTTTTTTTAAACATGACCGGTAAGGGGATCTTAACCCTTGACTTGGTGTTGTCAGCACCATGCTCTCCCAAGTGAGCTAACCGGCCATCCCTATATAGGGATCCGAACCCGTGGCCTTGGTGTTATCAGCACCACACTCTCCCAAGTGAGCCACGGGCCGGCCCTGGGGGGTTCTTAAAGTCACAAAAGAACTCTTTGGCACTAATATTAAAACATTAAAGGACTGTATCAGAAGTGGCATGAATAAAAACAAATGACCAAAGTCTTCCTAAGACGGGAGACCATAGACTTTAGAGGGACAGCAAAAATCTATGAGAGCATGTGAATATGATGACAAGAAATGATGATGTGCACTTAGGCAGGGGTTTATCTTGGGAGTGACAAAGGGATCTTTAAAGAAATTCTAAGGAAAATGAGATGATAAGATATCCACACTAGAAAGCTCAGCCTGGTGGTAATGTGGAAGATGAACTAAAATATGGTGGTAATGTGGACAACAGACTACAGGGAGCAGGAGCCTACTGAAATAGATCAAATGAAAGATTAATTTAAGATGTCCACAATATTCACACACCAATGAACTAAAAGAGTTCATGAATATACAAGAACCATTTGTTGTCACATCATACAGCCTTTACTTACTGTAATCTCACACAGAATTTCATTTAATCATTATAACCTTTTCATGTATTATCTTACTTACATAGATGAAATTCAGAGAAATGAAGAGACTTTCCCAGGGTTATGGAGGAAATAACACAAACCTAACTATTCCGTACAAAAATTGCATAACTGCATTGAGATATGGTATATACTGATAGCTGTATGACAAAAGCAAACTAACACATAGATCTGTTACCTTTTCAAGGTCTTTTTAAAAATAAGAGTGCAAGTATGGGGATAGACAGCTACTGATAGTATTTAGTGGAACACTGTGAAATCACAGGACTGGAAACCTAGGTCAGAATACTGAAAATCATAATTTGGTAGAAATGTGAAAGTACAAAATTCAGCTGTTTATAATCTTTTCCTATAAAAGAGCAAAGTATCCAAAAAGAGGTACTACTTGCTCCCCCAAAATGTTTATTTCTCAAGCTTACCTCACAACATAATTTACACATACAATGCACTGTGGTTGAGAATTCTTGGTATTATATATGACAGTTGCTTGAGTTTCAACCCAGACATATCCACCTCTTTTGGCAAGCATCCTGTACTGTCCTGTAGTGACTTGTCCTTTAGTAAACACTAGGAGTGAAAAGGAAAAAGGAATCATGCGGAGAAAATAACTGAATTTCCTATCAAATGAATAGATGTGGAATGTTTAACTGTTTTAGAAAACAGGAGAAATGTTTATTTTAATAGAATCAGTTGTAACTGTTTAAATCAAGAGCAAGAAAAAGCCTCAGCATAGCTGAAAATATACTCATTTCCTTCTTCTAAACCCCAAATATGAAACTCCTTTCCTGCCAATCTTCACTTTAAATAAAACAAAAACCAGGAATAAGGAACATCAGTGACTACAATTCCGTTAAAGACTTACGTTGAAAGTGTCAGACGAGGGAATGATCAATGACCTTGATTCCACAAGGAACATTCATGAAAACGGTACTGTTGTTACTTCCTTAAATTCCTGCTATAGTATCCAGAGACCCAAAGATACTTCAAAAGGTGTACTTAGCATACTTGAATATAAATTGATACCATACTGTAGTCCTTCGGCAATTTAGGCAATCTAAATTAATTAGTGATTTGGAGAAAGTACTGAATAAATCCTAGTGATGAGATTATTGTAAGTACTGGGGCCCTGCCTGCACACTTGGTCCTACTCTTCAGTTCAAGGCTAATCACACCAACTCAGTGATATTAAGGCATTCCCAGTCACATTGGGAAGTCATATTTAGGTATGGGCAAGTGAGAAATTCCAACATTTAACTTACCTTGGAATCTTAAATAACTCATTTGAGTAAAATTCAGAATCATATCTTATATCAAGGGTACTTGTTACTGCATTTGCATGATTTTGATCACCATCACCTTCATTGACTCATCACACAAATATTTTCTGGGTGCTTTCTATGTACCAACCACTATTGTGAGTATTAATGTATGGATTCTGAAAATGATGCTATAATATTTGATTTCTTAAAATCTTTGTATTTAAAATGCCAGGCATGTTTTATATATTATTAAATGATTCTACTTTTACTGACATGCGTTGTAACAAATACAGTGTTAAGATCCCTTAATGGTCAAGATACATTATGAAATCGTCTGTTAACATATTTAGTCTAGGAGGTTTTGTTAATTTTAACAAAAATCTGTGAGTTATTCAATTGTACTTACTATCATGATGAGTTTTGGTCAGATGATCAGAGTCCAAAGCATGATAATATTCATAAATTGAGCGGCCCAGAAGTTCTTCTGGCTCATATCCCATCAATTCAGTAATTCTGTTATTAAAAAAAATGTAAGTTAAAAAAAAAGAGGAGAGAGACTAATGGATAAAGAAAATTTTTTTTGCTTCTCAAGGGTAACTCATGCATTAATTTAATGTACAAATGAGTTTTCAAAAATAAAGAGCATCCCTCCTGGCTTAAAATAAATTTATATCTCACCTTCAGTAACTCTACAGTTATTAACTACAGCACCATGCATTTAAGTCCTCTGGGTTCATCTTTTATCCCCTTCACCCAAACTTGTTACCTATTTTTGTCACATTTCATTGTATGTATTTTTGGTAACAAGGCAGAATATTAATAAATCAATATGGAATACTGCTAAATTAAATGATAAAAGTTATAAAGACAGTCACTGAGATTTATTTTCAAATATAAATTAAATCTACAAATTACTTTTTTAAGCACCTAGGCAAGGCCTCACTTTAGGGGATCAGTATTCACTACAAAATTCTAATATCAAATCAAAGAGTATCTACACTAAATGGGAACCAAAGGAATACCGATTATGTTGGTTTTAGAAGATACTCTTATACTTAATTTTTGGAATTACATAAAACTATGGGAATTAATTTCAGATGAAAAATAACATCAAATTGGAAGTGGACTGGCAAATAATCCAGTTACTCCATCTGATTCCCTGGCAATTCCTTTAGGACAGAGACTAGATCTTATTTTCTGTAACTGCAGTGTAAAATGGAACCCACTTCATGGGAAAAAGAAAGTTGTTGTCTTAGCACCATGCCAGATAGATAGATTCTCTTCTAAGGTCTTTCTGAACAGAAAACATTAGTTAAGTTTTTAGATTTCTTAGCCTTTAAATTACAAAGGACTTTCTTACTGAGGTGCAAGCAAAACTTACATAATGTGCTACATGTCCAAAAATCCCCCAGTAATTTCAGAAAGGACACGGGCAATATATCCTTCTAAAAAATGTATAGAAGTAATACTGTTTGTGTTGTCACACTTTAAGGGAAGATATGACATAATTTATTCTAAACTAACTAACTAAATAGAAAGCTGATTTGTCAAAATCCAAACCCAACCCAACCCAATCCCCTCAATTCTTTACAATGGGATATCCCTAAACACACCAACACTAGGTGGCAGCATTACAAAGGAAATTACTGTTTTTAAACAATCATCTTTACACTATGCTTTAAGAATAACTTTGTCTTATATATATTACACATTTACATTTTATATACAGGCTTATATATTTTATACATTTAAATAAAATTCCTTGGAAATCAAAACCTTTTTCACTATTCAAGCCTTTATATTTCTATGTGTGCCTGGCATTGTTCTAGAAGTGAAAATACTAAGTGTAGATAGGAAGATAAAACTCAACATGTGGGGCCGGCCCAGTGGCGCACTGCTACAGTGCGCCGCTTGGGAGCGCGGCGGCACTCCCGCCCAGGGTTCGGATCCCACATACAGACCGGTTCCCGCTCACTGGCTGAGCGAGGTGCGGGCGCAGCACCGAGGTTTGCGATCCCGTTGCCGGTCCTGGTCCGGTACGGGCGCGACACTGAGGGTTGCGATCCGTTGCCGGACATGAAAAAAGACAAAAAGGAAAAAAAAAAAAAAACCTCAACATGTGGCTAGTTTTCTGGTAGACTTATCATACTTCCTATAAAATAATGCAGTAAATGCAGTGATGAGAATCTATTTCAGGAACCCCCCCATCCATGAAAAGGAATGGTAGTGTGAAGGACAGCTTCTTATAGGAGACTTATGAGTTGAGTATAAGAGTCAAAGAGAAGGCAAAATTGTTTCAGGAGGAAGGTACAGCACAAGCAAAGATAGAGAAAATGCTTAACATGGTGCAGGTAAAGAGAGATTCTGATGTGGCTAGTAGAGGTGAGTGGAGAGAGATGATGCTGGAGAAGAAGGCCAGGAGGATCAGATTAATGAGGGTCTTGTTTATTATCTTAGGAAGCTTTGATTTAACCATATGTTAATCAGTGCTTCTCAATCTGAGGTATGTCTATCACTAAGGAATGCCAAGCAGTCAAAATATAAACAATATACGTTTTCCTAGAAGGTCAATTTTATGCATATTGGAGGAATAAAGGTAAAGTTAATTTAACTTTAGAGAATTACATAGCTTATATTCTGTACCAAAAGGGGGAGAGGGGCCCAGAAAATGTGTTTTTAATAGACTAGGAAACTTGTGATCTAAAGCAACTATACCATTCATTTCTTAACGGCAGGAACTATTAATCTTCATTTCTACTTTAGTGCCATCAACTTAGTATGATACTCAAATGATTATTATGTGGATACTACTCAGTACAGTAAATAAGAGCCATTTGTGGGATATTTTGGATGTTAGAAGCTTAATGTTAGATTTTCTTAAAATTGGGCAAATTTTTTTCCATATCTTGGTTCTCAGGGGTTACAGATATGAGAAGTTCCTGGAAAGAGCTCTAACAAGAAAACAACAGTCTACTGGTCAAACTCAAAGCCTTTCTTGGTTGATCTCTAAGCTGGCTGTCTTTACTCTCAACTCCTCTGTCCTGATCATTTTGCTAGTTTTTTGATATAACCAGAAAGGAATGCCACTCATTTTCTCACTCTAGCTCTATCATTTTCCTTTCTCCCTAGCCTATCCCTATACATTGTTATTCCAAGTTTTCGAAAAACAAAAAAATAATTCCTCAAAATAGGATGGGCATCTTTGTTCTATCATATATTCACATGAATATTGGCAGTAAACACCATAAGATAGTTCTTGGCTTCTTTATCTTCATTTTATTAAAAAGTTGACTGCAGTGGTGAAGCACTCACATTATATGCACTAGGCACTCAACAAACTCCTTTAATCCTCACAACAGCCTTTTGAGGTATGACCCTTATTTTACAGATAAGGAATCTGAATTTTACAGCAGTTTAGTACCAAGGCCAATGCCACACTGTTAAACTACCAGAGCTGCAAGCCAGGACTGAATTCAAGGTTATGTGATTCCAAAGCCAGTGCCCTGTCACATTTCCTTGCCCAAATGGAGTGGGGGATTATTGTCTATATTATGGCTAAGGGCTTAAAATTGATTTTTCCATATAATATTCAAGTTAACTCTCTACAATAGGTGTTATTAAAGATGAAGAAACTCATGCTCAAAGAAAAGAGCTAATGTGTCCAAGACTACTTGGATATAGGCAGCAGAGCCAGGATTTAGTAGTCTGGCTGGCTACGTAATCCACGCCTTTAACCACTATGTTATACAGCCTCATAGTAAAAGTGGAAAAGCAATAGTAGAATAAATGCTATTACAGAGGTATGTACAAGAAACAGTGTAGTTTCTTCTTGAAGAAACAAGGAAAGCTCCACAATGAAGTAGGTGCTCTTAGAAGGTACGTGTTTTAGGAGGTGAAGAAAACTTCATTGCAGAGTAGAAAAGTAAGTGTAAATGCACTAAGACATTGAAACAGCATGTGGGCATGTCTGGCTATAAGTTGTTAGGGGCCACATAAGAGTGGGTGGTTCCCCTTCCTCCTGCATAATTTGGAGAAGTGGGCAGGGGCCAGATCATAAATATCTTTGTTTGCCATGCTAAGAAGTTTAAATTTTATTTTGTAGGTCTGTTTTTCTCTTCAGCCTTTAAAATGCACAACTTCTTTTGATAAATAAAAATCTCCTTCCCTCCTCTAATATTTTTATAAACAAAACTTTTTTTATGTGAAGACAAAGGGAAGAAACTGAGGCATTTTCATCAAGAAAATGACATGATCTGATTTTCCCATTAGGAAGTCATCTTTGTGGCAACCTGGATGAAAGATTAAAAAGGCACAAATCTGTTGGTAGAAAGGCAACTTAAGAGACTATGGCAACAGTTCAAGACAAAGGTAAAATGAGCTGAAGAATTCAATGGCAGGAGTGCAAGGGTGGAAAAGAGAGAATGGATCGAGAGACATGTAGATAAATCTTACAGAAAATCTATAAGATTTGGAGACCAATTGAGTGTAAACGATGAAGGTAAAAGAAAAGAATGACCTCCAAAGTATTGCTGGAGTCATGTGTCTACAGTAGTGTATTAACCACAATAAGTATCATAGGAGGAAAAGCAGTTTTTGATGTTGTCATTGTGTGGGGGCAGAAGTGGTGCAGTTCAGTGACAGAAATACTTAGTTTACAGAAGAATATCTATCTGGATAGAAATATCAGGCTGGCAATTAAATAGAAGCAGCTACAGAAATAAATTTGGGAAATGGTGATAGAAACCATGGCGATGTTGTCATTGTGTGGGGGCAGAAGTGGTGCAGTTCAGTGACAGAAATACTTAGTTTACAGAAGAATATCTATCTGGATAGAAATATCAAGCTGGCAATTAAATAGAAGCAGCTACAGAAATAAATTTGGGAAATGGTGATAGAAACCATGGGCAAGACTGAAGCTGCTAAGGGAAAATACGTAGGATGAGATGACCAGACTTTGCTTTCTAGTCCATAATCAAAAATAATATATCCTTCCTCAGAACATGCATTGTATGTCTTTGAAATGTATTTATATTTTCTCTCTTTAAATAAGTTGAGCACCTAAAAAAAAGACATCATCTTAACAATTTTTATGTAACATCTGATAGAGTAAGTATTCATGGCACACAAGTGTTCAATAAAAGTGGCTGAATTAATTTACAAAGTTAATCTAATATTACTGAGTTCCAGGATCTATCATTCTATTCAACTTAGAGAAAGCATACAATTTGCCAGAGTCTTTACTATCTTTACAATAGTGAATATTCAAAAATGCTGTAGTCTAATTAAAAATTTCAAATTACATTTTATATCTACTTTACCTTTCATCACAATAAGAAAATTTCATATCCAGGCTGTGTCGACTGAGAAAAGTCTTGCTATCTAGAGGAATTTCAATATTTGATGGATGAGGAATGGGTTCACAAATCAGCACCAAGCATGTCATGGGTGGTTTCTTATACCCACACTGAGATTGGTTACTATTGGTATCATATACATGAATATGGCCTGTGCAGTGAAGTACCTGTGTACAAATAAGAAAACAAAGCAGTTATTTTTTAAAATTTACAGTTATAGGAAAAAAAAATGCAGAGATATGTAGTTGAATATGACAAGGCAAGTAAGCATTGGTAAAATTTACAGTCAGTGGATTAACTATATTTTTGAAAATCAACATGTTTTCCCTATCGACACCACCAAGACCTTGCCAGGCACCACAGATTACTCTTTAAAAAATTCCCCTCATTTAAGTCTGGGCTGCTTTTTTATCAGCTGATCATGATAGCTGTTTAATGGTATTTCTTGCTCAATGACTGTGTTTCTACACATAGCAAAGAAATTATACAAAAATGAACAGAAATTTAAGCTCTATCAGGATTCAAACACTGGAAGGCTGGCAAAACCAACTGATTAAATCAACTTGGTACACCAGTGCCACGATTCACATAATTTATGTTTATGCCTCAAATTGGTAAATTTCTACCACACTGTTTTGAATTTTGGGGATCACACACAAATTATAGTTGTTCCACGGTATCCATGGGGGACAGGTTCCAGGACCCCTGTGGATACCAAAATCCATAGATGCTCAAGTCCCTCATAAAAAATTGTGTAGTATTTGCATATAACCTACACAGTATCCTCCTGTATACTTTAAATCATCTCTAGATTACTTAAAATACCTAATACAATGTAAATGCAATGTAAATAGTTGTTACGCTATCTTGTTTAGGGGTTAATAACAGGAAAATTGCCTAAACATGTTCAGTACATATGCAATAATCAATTTTTTTTGCCAATATATTTTTGACCCTTGGTTGACTGAATCCACAGATATGGAACTCATGGATGTGGAACTCATGGATATGATGGGCTGACTGTAGTTGAGAGTGTAAGTGTTAAATTTGCAAACACCAAGAAACAACTGTAAATTTTCCCTCACAATCCTAAAACTATTTTAATACTAGCAATGTCTAGATGTATCAATTTATCTATATACATCAAGATCATCATCACTTAGAAATCATTTTTACTTACCTTCCATGTTGCAGACTTTATGTTCATAGTTCTCCCCCGGCTAGTTAGAGTACACTTCATTCTGAGAAAAAAGCTTCGCTGTGTGTTTTGCTCTTTACCCTTTTTCACAGGGCCTAATGAAAGCATGAAATAGAGTTAAAACATAACTAAATATACAAATTTGTTACAATAAAAATAGCAAGTGCCCAGCACCTAGATGCTGTTCAATTCAAAAATCTCAGCATGAACATAGCACTTCACACCCTTTTACCCACTCCCCTCAGTAGCAGTGGTGTACAAGACTGCAGTGACTCCCTGAGCGGGCAGGAAGAGAATCGATATTTGGGATAACAGTTAATCATTCAAACCCGTAAACCTGGTCAAACTATGAACATACTGGGAAATATAAAAGTGTGTTTGCCTTCTAACTGTGCTATCAATGTACAAGCATGCCTAAAAAAAAATTTCAACAAATTCTTCCTATCCTTTACTAAGTGTTTTAGCCTAATTTATAATGAGCACTCAATGTATTTATAGAACTTTTAAAATAGCTACTTTCTTTTTAATAGCAAATGGCATTTTAATATCTGATTTTTTCTTAGATCATCCTATAAAACAGGAAATTATTTCTACTTTGTTACTGTGGGAAAAAAATCAGATTGAATGTCTTATCAAAAGCTAGAGTATATAAGCAAAGTCAGAATTAAATAAATTCAAAACTATTTACTCCCATCCCAAACCCCATATAACTAAAAAATGAGATTACACTCGGGTGATTAAGTAAATCGCATCTTAATTTCTTATCTTCATTGGTCAGTCTGGTTCAAAACAAATACAAAAATATTCATTATTTAGGACCTGGACTAGATATCGCAGGCAATACAAAGGAATAAGACACTCTGCGCCTTTCCTGAAGTTAAAAATATAGTAGATATATAAGGTCAACAACAACAATACAATGTAGAGTAAGTACACAAGTCTTCTAAGAATGCCTTCAAGAAGGACAGAGAAAGGTCAGAAGACAACTTCTAGTCAAGTGGAATCAAGAAAGCTGCTTTAGAAAAAAAGACATTAGAATTTCAGTAAGTAGAAATGGGTTAGAAGGGTGTTCCAGGCAGAAGAGAGTAAAAAGCACCAAGGTAGGAAAAATAGCACATGTTTGGGGAATAGTAAAGTACAGTTTGTCAGCATTATAAAGTACATGTAAAGAGTAATAAGACAAAGTTAGGACGTTAGGACCATAACTACAGAGAGCCTTGGATGCCAGAGAGTAAAAAGCACCAAGGTAGGAAAAATAGCACATGTTTGGGGAATAGTAAAGTACAGTTTGTCAGCATTATAAAGTACACGTAAAGAGTAATAAGACAAAGTTAGGACGTTAGGACCATAACTACAGAGAGCCTTGGATGCCCAAAAGAGAATATCAGTCTAAATATACAACATGGGGCTTTTAACTTAAGGGAACATTTTAGCAGCAATATATATGATGTCTTAAAATTGAATACAGTGATGGTAATTGGTAATGAGGGGCTAAGCCAGTAGTAGCAGTAGGAGTGAAAAGAAGGGTAGCAAACGACAAATGAAGAAAGATAGAATCTATAAAAATTTAAAAACTGGTAGAAATAAAGGAGGAGAAAAAGAAAAGATATGGAAATTTTAAGGCTAGTATATTGAAAACATTGTCAAATGGAAAAGAAACAAGAATAAGTTTAAATTTAGGTATGGTTAGCTAGAAATGCTGGACTGTTCAAAAAGAATGTGAGTTCTAGTTGATACTCATATTTAACAATGGAACTAGAAAAAGTTGGAGCAGTCCCAGTGCTGATACAAGTTACTTGGGTTTACTTAAATAAGGATTGAATTAGCCCTCCTAGAAGCATTCAAGAAAAGGTTTTAAAAAGATGCCACAAGAACCATACTGGTCTTGGGGACGGTACAGTAGGGTGTGTGTGTTGGGGACAGATGCGATCCACATGTAATTCCTTGGGATGTTTCTAGTCCTTCATAATCTAAGCTTGAATTAAACTGACCTTTGGAAACCCAAGGCCTTTGAATGGGGGCATGCAGATAATTTTAAAAACCAAGGTGACTGAAAAGTACTAGCATTTTCCTAACGGAAAAAAACATTTTAAAAGAACTAAACTTTCAACCCTCTAAAAATAATTCATATTTTGTAATAATTTATGGATTCTAAAGCATCTTTTTAGAATTTAAATGAAAGAATAACAGGACTATTTCTGTAAGCACACCACTAGCTCTTAGTGTATCATTAAAATGTGAGGCTTTGCAACAGCCCCTCATTTCTAAAAGTGAAAATCTACATCTTAGTTTCACAAGAAAACATCAAAAATTCATTAGCTACATTAGGAATGATTTCAAAAAATGTTTCTGTGCTTTAAAAAAGAACATTTGGTTCAAAAGATATATTTAAACTATATTAAGTAGACTATATCTGATTTAGAATAATACATTAACATCATTACCAAATCAAAACAAGCCTTCCTAATATCCATCTTTTTATAGTCTAGCTCCAGGAAAGCACTGAGCAATCAATACAAACCTCATGTCTAAACACTAGAGCTCATATCATATTAAGTTCATTAATTTAAGACAACCCACTTAGGTCCTTGCTCAAAGCATATTTACTCCTCCTCTATACAGAATTCTAATGCATTTCCCCCCTCAAATTCACAGTAAAAACACAATATGAAACTAAAAAACAGGAGAAGGCTCCTAATGATAGGGTAAAAAAAGGTACTTAGAGTTCAAGAACATGAAAAAAAGCTCTAAAATACTAACGTGTGTGGACTCTGGAACCAGTCTACCTGAGTTTAATTCAAGACCTGCCATTTACTAACCAAGTAATGTTGAGTAAGTTACTCAGTAACTCTGTGCCTCAGTTTCCTCAGTAAAATAGAAATTGTAATGGTAACTTAACAGGGTTGTTGTGAAAAATAAAAATAAAGGAGTTAAAGCATATAAAATGCAGAGAACAGTGTCCTGGCACAGAGTAGTCCCTCTCTAGAGGTTAGCTATTATTATTACAAATGAGATTAAAAAAGAAAAGCCTAAAATTATTCAATAAGTACTATAAAACTTGAGGTTGTTTAATATGGAAGCAAACAAACTTATACACGTAAATTAGAGAACAGCAAAGAACAACTGCAGAGCACATTAACAAATTTTCATTGTGGTAACTTTGAGCTATGATAGAAAAGTTCAATTATGATCAGTATACTCTGTTTAAGAAGGCACAGTGTGTAAAGATTTTCTTTAATCATTAAGTTTTTGTAGTTCAAGAGGTACTTTCCAAAAATCTTGGAATATTTTATTATTTTTAACAGTTCATTACTAGGATAGGTCTTACTGTCTTTTTCTGTTAATGTGAAGGCATCCATAATATAATGGTTGTTAATTTAACTACATAGTCCCAAATTATTGAAAACACCCTAAGAAGTCAAATAAGCAGTTGTTAATTGTGCTCTTAAAATTCTGGTATCTTTTTTTATTCCTTTTGCCTTTAGAAAGCTTGGACCCAAACTGGAACCTCAACTTTAAATATTGTCTAAAATCCTATTATCTGCCATTTATCCATGGCATAAAGTTGTATTTTAATTTATAACTCCCTCAGTCCTGATTTTTATTTTTTTCCATTTTATTTTATCTATTCATATACATACACACACACACACACACAATTATTTATGGAATTAGGTGGGACTTAAAATTTTTTTTAGGCATTTTAAAGAAATTCCTAAAAATAGAATAATGGTTTTAACAAAGAATAAACATTTTATTAAATGTGAAATAACGTTTTGCCTTAGGGTAACACAATAGCAAAATTTTAAAAATAGTAATAGTATGTGATTAAGTAAAACCACCTGTAACATTTAATCAAACAATAAAACGATTATATTATATAATGCTGAATATACTCATCCTGATTTGAGCATCATATATTGCATACAGATATTGATATTCAACTTCGTACCCCCACATATATGTACAATAAACTGTTTCAATAAAAAATTAAAAATTAAATAAATCAAACAGTAGACTTTTCTTCTCACCATTTCTGTGTGTAAGCATTTCTCTCATTTCCTCATGGTCACATGGATGAGTAAAATCAAACACACTGTGTCCAGTTAGTTCAAACTGTAAACACATTTTAAAAAATTAGATGTACATCATATAATCATAAAAACATACAGAAGGGCTCTTAATATTTGGGTATTTTACCTGAGTCAGTCCCATGTATTTGTTCACATTATCAGAAATGTAAATCATGTCACCATCATCTGTGAGAACCATAACAAAACCATCTAGGGCTTTCAAATAAAAGCAATTCATCTGTGCCTTCATTTCATCTTCAATATCCAAATCACCTTAAAAGGGCATAAAAAAAAAATAATTAGGTTAAAAGTTATACTAAAATGATGTAATATTTAGATGTCTTTTATAAAGTTTTCCTACAGATACTTAATATATACAGCATCTATTTTTTCTGTAAATTTTCCCCATCACTCTTATTTTAACACAGAACAGTCAAGGCTAAAGGCTGGAAAGACTAAAATTAGACTTGACAGCTGCTTTTCATCATTATTTAAAGTAATACAGCAAGGTTAACCACTGAGAAAAGAAAGAAGGGTCATGTTTTAAAAGGAAGAAAGGAAGAGAGGTGGAGCAGGAGAAAAAGATGGGGTGGGGGCAGGGAGCCAATATCTTAAAAATTCCCGAATGAAGCTTTAAAAGCAGTAATTGAAAGGATGTTATATAAAGAATTGAGAATATGTTTAAGAGAACAAAGCAAAACAACTCAATGCAAAGAGAAGGATTATTCAAAGTGTAACTAAACAGATTAGAAAAAGAAATGAAGTTTGGTAAAAACAGTAAGGATTATTGAAAATTTTTTAAAGTGTATATATATATCACAATACAGTAAGGTATAAAAAACATTGTGACCACCTTCTAAAAATAATTTCTAATTACTTCTAATTTCTAATTTTCAGGTCTATTACACCCTTGTAAAACAACTCACCAGCATCCAGAAGTTTCCTCACACGCAAATAGCTGATGGTAAGCCTCATAACAGAAGCCTTATCAAGATGCGAGCTCACATTATGGGGAAGTGGCAACTGATGAGCAAGCTCATAAAAAACTTCAGACTCTTTACTTCGCCGAGATCTGGCTGCATCTCTGGACTTCTCTTTTCGGCGTTCAGAGCTTATCCTACTTAACCAAAAACAAAAAACAAAAAAAGGAGAAGACAGAAAATGTATGCAAGTTAGTTTGCCTTAGCTTGAATAAAACTAATTTTACATTTTTCTGTTTACTACAAGATTACAAAATGCCGTGTAATTAAATTACATGGAAATTTGTCTACTAGATGAACATATTTTTATAAAGACAACTATACAAATTTTTGATTACTGCAAACATAAGTAACTCTCACAGGAAGCCCAAGATCAAGCTTTAAATCCGGCATGTCAAATTGAAGAGGATGTTTTTATTTTAGCCAAAAACTTAAAGCAGCCTGTATATCTAGGGCTGCACCTCATAGCCATTCAAAAGTAGTCTCAACATAGAGAAACCATGATTAAGTGTAGAGAAACTATCTAAAATTGTACATAACTTGAAAACAGGAGTTGTTAAGCAGGTAGGACAGCAATAGCTACAAACTGATTTTTGACCCAAGTTTCTTTTGACTCTAATACTTTCCCACCCTCTACCCTACCACATGAGCAATGACGACTATAAGCTATAAGAATTTATATTAGCAGCTATAATAAGCTACTGATTTCAGGTTGCCTACTCCCTTAGAAGCACCTTATCTATTACTTGCATATCAGGTACCAAATAAATGCAGGGATACAGAAGAAAAAAAAAAAAGTGGCACAATACCAAGAATTTAAAGGGACAGGTTAGCAAAGATAAAGGTATCAATAAACCTTTAGGGAACTCTTCCAAGAATAAAGATAGTCAGTCAAAAATTTTCCTAAGTCATACCAAGCAAAGCTGTCTTTCTTTGCTTGACCGCCTAGCAACATTCCTCCAGACCCAGTTGGAGATAAGGCTAAATCTGGTTCTATCCTTAGCTTCTTCTTTAATAGTTATTGTTCATTAAAGCCCACATGCCCAACACTACCCTGGTACCAGGCGCCTAGTTCTCTCATAACTACCTATGAACAGGTTAAATATTATCCCTATTTTACAAATGAGTAAAAACAGCCATTAATGTAGTAGACAGGATTTTAACCCAGGTGTTTTTTAATCCAAAGTCTTAGCCCTTCCACAATGTTTTATCTTATTAATGGAGAATGCCATTTCTACCTCAAATACTCAGCTGATCTCCTATGCCCCTCAACTCAATTATTTACTAAATACTGAATACAGGCTTACGATTTATTGAGCATTTAGTAGTATACTAAGGACTTTGCTAGCATTATTTCATTTAATCCTTACATCCTGTGAATGAAGATAACTGTCTCCACCTCAAATCTCTCCTCCCTCCAAATTTTCTGCAAAGCTGAAAAGTGCAATCATAGAAGCAATGTTGTCAAGCAATACGCAGGGTTCTCAGTACATGCTGTTATGTTGTATATTAACAAAAGAATATCTAACAGTTGTATTGTGACAATAATGATAGTATAATTTTATCACTTGTAACTACATGTCTATGTGAATCAGGATTTTTTTCAGTGCTGTGCAATTAAAAAATAAATTAGATGCTGAGGCTACATGAAAATGTGTCAACAGTCTGCAGTTTTATTTATCTGCATTAAAACTGCCTCATTGTTCTCACTGATCGACTGTAAATGTTTTCAATTTGAACTTTGGAATGTATTATCATAAAATATTTTTAAGAATCTATAAACTGGAGTTCTACACAATATTCATGGAGGCAGGGGTATCCAGGGACCCTATCTGCCCTAATAGATACTGTTTCCCTCACTTTTTTCCTCTCAAATTGGTAGGTGAGAGGCAGTGATGACTGTGGGAAACAGATTCTTATCTGGTTCAAGTAAAACCATCAAAAAAGACTGATGGTCACTGACCTCATGATAAACCTGAATATTAGTCCAAACACCACAATTAGTCTGGCTGTTCAGAATTTTATAAACAACTTTAATCAGACTTACTATTCCCTTTTTTCTGGACTATTCAACTGATGTAAGCTACTGACATTTGATTACCTAAATGAAACACTTGGTGAAAACTTGAAATCCTTATAATAGCTGTTATATGCTTTTAAAGGGTATCTAATCAAACTAATTATGGTGATGAAATGTCTCCATACCTTTGAAATACTTGTCCAGAACTTTGAAGATAGCAATGCCTGTCCAAGGTGTGGCAATAAGCTTCTAAGACAAATCCATTAGAAATGTGAGGTTGGATGAAACATGTAAAAGGACAATATATTTAAGTTAGTGCAGACTCAGAAGAATTTTAGAATCAGCCTGAATTTTGGAAGAAAACTGAGCTTCAAGAAAATGAGTAATATGATAAGAGAACCAACAAACCTACAGTAGATGAAGATGGTGGTGAAAATCATTATGTCGTTCATTACATAATCAGTCTAGACACAAAGCAATCAGGTGACCTACACTAAAGGTTTAATGAAGATATCTGTATGTTCTTCACATGTGACTGTGGGAGCTCTTATAACATTTCTAGGCTTGAAGCTAAAGCTTCCAAAATTCTTATAAGTTTCAGCATCTAAACTGCCCAGCTTCTTGTCTACTCACAAGAAGACTCTTTCTATCAGCCATATACCACAGAATTACAATACTGACCAAGAATTATTTCTGTTACACCACAGGGTCTAGGTCCCACAGAGATGAATCCTGTACTATTTACTTACTATACAGATTGAACAATGAAAGGTGTATAGACCAGATGGAAATAGATTTTCAGTATACAAATAAGATCAATGTATTTCTCTAAATTATCAATTGTATCTATGTTGCTTTTAAGTACAGATCAAATGAGGTTCTGCTACTGATATGTCTGCATAAGGTGTGACTTCAGTTGAATACAAATTCCTGTCTTTTGAATAGCTTGCTTAACATTTCCATGACTGTTCTAGAACTAATATTTGCATAAACTGGAAAAATAGCTCAATCTTTGTTGTATTGTAGTTTTCACATACTTATTATTTAACATACAGTACTAGACATAAAACTAACAATTACATCTTGAAAATATTTTGTATAGAAAAATGTTTAGAAAAATTATTTTGAACAGCTGTTGTCTAATTTACTTTCTTGTATACAAAGCTCATGACTAATAGTTGGGACATAAAACTAACAATTACATCTTGAAAATATTTTGTATAGAAAAATGTTTAGAAAAGTTATTTTGAACAGCTGTTGTCTAATTTACTTTCTTGTATACAAAGCTCATGACTAATAGTTGTTTTACAAAGAATACCTATTATTCTTTAGATTAAGAACACAAAATAATTGCAGACATTAAGTCAGCTGTGTTGTCTACTAAATTCCACATAAAAAAGCCTGTTAGCATTCCTGATTGAAAAGACGTGACACTTTAAGATCTGAAGTTAAATCATAACCATTCAAAATGTTAGCAGATGATCAGACTTATTTCTAATAAAGTTCATGTATAAATTTTTTAAAAAACCTTCAACTCTATTATTTGTTGAAAAAGCTCTTTCTGGTCTTGAAGGTACAAGTTGTTTTTTGGGTGTTTTGTTTTGTTTTTACAATTGTGTCAGTACTATAAGATAGATGTTCTCAAGGGAAATTTTATGATATAAAAGATGTGCTATTTAAAATTTTTAAATACATAACAGCTTGCCAAAAAGGTCTGTACCCATTTTTATCTCTGGCAATCCACGAATGTATATCCATTTCCTCATGCACTCTGCAGTATTATGTTATGGATATTTTTTAATCTTATTAATTTTTGCCAAGCTAATAGGTGAGAACTTTATTTCATTGTTTTAACTGCCCTGAATTTCTTAAAGTTTCAGGCCCAAGTAAAATGCAAGGAAATCTTCATGTTCACTCTTTAGTTGACATTTCTGCCTGAAGCTTTAAATCCAAACACTTACACATGGTGCTTACTATATACATGGTGGTATTCTAAACATTTTCACCATTACTTATTTAATCATTATTATGATCACACTGTTACAGATAAGGATTATGGTTAAATAGCTTACCCAAGGTTACACTGTCAGTAAATGGTAGAACCTGTATTCCAACTCAAGTAGTCTGGCTCTAGAGTCCATGCTATTAACACTAGACCATGCTGCCTCTCAGAAACTCATTCTAATTACCAAGACAAGTATTCATAAGTCTAGGCCATTATTATAAAGTTAAAAATTTGTTGACTTCACATGTCCAGAGATATAGAGGAGAAGTTGTAGGGGTTGGCTTTGGAATTTAGGACTTGACGCTAAGCTATTCACAAGGACTCATGATCAGGCTCGCTTTTGGAGTCTGCTTGTAAATCTAAACTCCTAATTGAAAGGCACCTACAATGGCAATCGATGCTCTCTGCTCCACTGTCCACCAGCTCTTCAAAGCAAGGCAAACTTTAAATGGATAATGTCCACCACAATGGAGACAGAATCTGAGGACAGTAATTCAATCTACCCCATACACTCCCACTAGACTTTATTTGTACAGAGCAGCTATTTGAACATCCTACTTCATTATTGTTGGTATCTTACTTGCTCAACATCTGACTGGCAGTCACAGCAACTTTTTTTTTTTTTTTTGGCACTCATTTTTACAAAGTTCTTCTAACTTGTGTTAGGCCAAATTAACGAATAAAGGCTGAAGGTTTGGGTTTTTTTTTTTTTTTAACTATTAAAAACACTTTAGATCTATAACCTAAAGCTAATGCACATGATATAATGCATGATGCATTCTCCTTGGGTGAGGTGATTTCTGAGACTGACTGGTTTTTAGGCAGAAAGGAGTCAGTCCTCCAGAATTTGGTATGACATTGGCATAAAAACTGAAAAGTAACCTTGGAGGTTTTTAATTCCACCATTTTCCCCAGGAAAACAAAAGGAAGATTCACCAAGTTCTTGGTTTGTATTTTATAGCACATTTGAAGGGATTAAAAAACTGACATACCACTGAACAAATCAACAAAAATAACACAATTATAAACATCACCTCACATTTCCATACTGTTCTTTTTCCTTGAATGACTTTGAGCATTGTGTTGCTGTTTGGAAAGGACTGTTTGCTAATCTG